ACACACACACACACAGACACGCTTTCAATCTGAATCCTGAGAGCTGCCCTCGCTCCCCTGCGAGTCTCCATGTCCTTCTTGGAGCTCCAAGGCTTCCGGGGCCGAAAGGAAGGAATCCGATCCCGGATCAGAGGCGCAACATGGGGTCAAGGCTACCTGGCATGCTTTGCTGGGTGGGGGCAGTGCACCACAACCTGTTGAGTTGATATGAAGCCAGGGAGTCTCAAATATGGGAGGGCTTCATGAGAGCGTTTCCTGTAGAGGTCTGGGTTCCACTGCTTGAAAGTGTGTGGTGGGTGTTCTGGTGTCTGCAACACTCCCATGTTTCACACCTGGATGTTGAGAGCAGGTAGGGGTTCTATCGGTCGAAGTCTTCTTTGGCGCCACTGAGGAATAGTGCTGCTGTTGGGAATGACGACCCACCTTCTTCTGCTGCTTCTTCGAGGGGTGGTGGTATTGGCCATGATAATGGTCACCGTGTGATTGTGATTTTCGGCACGATGACGGGTAAACTTGTGCTTATTTCAGTGCGCTTCGGTTTTGGGAAGGGCTTTTCGTCATGAAGCGCTGGTGCAATGTGCCGGGAATTTCGAACAGTTATTTTTGCAAGATTGCCGGCAATCTTGCATTCTTACCCCACTTGGGGCGGGGCAAAATGACCATGCAATCTTGCAATCTTGGTCATCTTGGTCTAAATGGTAAACTAGTCGGCAAGCTAGGGCAAGTGGGGCGGCACGTGGGGCAAGATGGCCAAGATTGCAAGATGACCAAGTGGGGCGGGAAGTCGGGCAAGATGACCGAGAATGCAAGAATTACCAAGTTGACTAAGACTTTGTGAAAACTTAAGCTGGGTTGTAGTTTTGGGGCCCTGAAAAGTATGTATGAATAGGTACCTCTATAAAAACCATAAGGGAAATTTTAAAGTTTCCCCAATTGCCACCTAGTAAGTGTCCTAAACTCTCGGCACAACTCAATGAGCAATCACCATGCTCATCGGCATCACTCTCTTCGTCAAGAAACAACATCTCATTCTCACAATCATCGTCGTCCAGCACCATCACCATCACGCCAGAAAACTTAAAATGGGCCTCCTCCTCTTCCTCTTGCAACGGCTCGTCGCATGCCCCCGTCGGAACCATGCTGACGGGCTCCTTGCGGCTGGATTGAAGCTGGAAGGCTTTAAATTTTGGCACAGGAACGGAATAGCTTCGTGTACCAGGGATTATGTCGCTCGCAGTCGAGCATTTAAGCCCGACATGCTCGCAACCCCAGCCGACTACACTGGCCCCTGGAGCTCAGGAAACTCACATCCTTGGCCGTTCAATCCAAACGACAACGCGCACACGTGGGCTCCAAGTTGTACTTCTTTAAAGTTATGAACCTAGTAGTAGCCAAAACATAACCAGCTAACATTGATGCTCGAAAGGACAGGGGTTGCACGCAAAGCCCCGGACACTGGCGAAGGCTTCACGACGGGCCATAGGTTTCCCTGAGCTGTCTCGGGTTCAGGGTGAAGGCTCTATGGTTGGCCCGTAACGGCTTTTCGCTCAGGCCCTAAACCCAAAACCCTAAACCCAAAACCCTAAACCCTAAACTCTAAGCCCGAAACGCTGAAATTTCTGAGTCTCTTGCAACAAGCCTCGAAGTATCTCATCCCAGGAGCCTTCCATCCGAACCCCTCCTGGCCTCAAGCCCAACCCTGCAACCTTAAACGTGAAACCCTAAAAAATCCAAAGAACCGTACCCCAGACCTTTCATAAACCCTTAAAAGCCCCCAATAAAGGCAACCCCCCTGTCCTGCATTAACCCTTAAAAGCCCCAATAAAGGCAACCCCCCTGTCCTGCATGACCTGCTCTAGATCTTCTGTCGCTGCTTCTTCCACGGGATCCACCACATCCGGGCCCTCAGAGGCCGTCTCGGGCTCACCCTGAGGAGGCTTCCAGGCTGAGGCTTCATGGGTCTAGGGTTTAGGGGTTTAGGGTTTAGGGTCTAGGATTTAGGGGTTTAGGGTTTAGGGTCTAGGATTTAGGGGTTTAGGGTTTAGGGTCTAGGGGTTTGAGGATTTAGGGTTTAGGGGGCTTCGGGTGCAGGAGAGGGTTTAGGATTTACCCTAAGGGGTTCCAAAAGAACCAATAATCATGTACTGGGGTGACGGATAGTCGTTTTGTAGGTTAGTATTCACGAGAAGGGGTTAGAGCATTTAGGGTGTAGGCGGCTTAGGGTGTGGTAGGGCGTTTTTTTGGTTTCCGATGGTTTAGGATGGTTCAAGGGCCTTTCCTGGCTTAAGTGATGAGGCTATCTATTGCAAGCCCGCTTGAAGGTTCCGGATATAGGCTTTCGTGGTTTACGGGTTTGGGGTTTCAGAATTTGTGGTGTAGGCTTGAGGGTTCAAGTTTCAAAGCTGGCGAAGTTCGAACGGAGCAACTTGCAGGTGAAGGCAACACTGATGTCGGGTGAGACGCCCGACGCCCCACTACAGAAGGAGCAGGGTCGCGCCCACATCTTGCATCCAGTGCCTCTTGCAGCGGCCTAGACAAACAGCCTCCAACCTCAACGGTTCTGGCTGCTTAGAAGATCATGCGTCCGGAACATGGGACCTGGTGTCACGAGCCAGAGCCCTCTTCCGCTCAGGATGCGCGAGGGCATGCACTTTGATGAGTAGCATGTTAGACTGCTCTCAATGCCAGATCTTGCAACGCGGGCCTGAACCCAACCCCAAAACCGTAAACCCTCTAAAACACGATGCACGTTCTCTCATGCCCTTGATATCCAGTTGCCTTGCATGCTAGCCTACTATAACCCTAGCATAGCAACCAACCCATGCTATAAGTACTTTAAACCCTAAACCCCGAACCGTAAACCCTGACCCCTAAACCCTAAACCCTAAATCCTAAATCCTAAACCCTTAATCCTTTTTTGCATCAGGACTTGTGCAATCGCCTGAATGTCTGGGCCTACAAAACCCTAGATCCTAAACCCTAAACCCCAACCCTAAACCCTAAACCCAAACCCTAAACCCTAACCTTAAATCCTAAACCCTAAACCGAAACCCTAACCCCTAACCCTAAATCCTAAACCCTAAACCCGGCTTCAAGCTCTACGGAGCCCTGCCTCTGTGCTTCGCGCCGATGCCATCGGCTCTTCGTAGAGTTGGCCGGGGAGGGGCAGCTCGAGTGGACCTGGTTTAGGAGGGTTTAGGGTTTAGGGTTTAGGAGGGTTAGGGTTTAGGGTTTAGGGTTTAGGTTTAACGTACCTGCGTACCATGGGTTACTATGCTAATTCTCAGGTGATATAGGGGCAGTAGGCTAGCATGCTTGCGGCTCGGTGTGTAGGGTTTCGGCTTGGGGGCTTGAGGGTTTCAGGTTCGGGGTTTAGGGCTGAAGATTTAAACCCTAAATCCCTAAACCCAAAGCCCTTTTTGCATTAGGACTTGTGCAACCGCCTAAGCCCTAAACCCCTAAACCCTATAAACCTTCAAGAGAAATTGCCTCACCAGAACCCTAAACCCTAAAGACTCCAAGTTGAAACTCAGGGCTTGATATGACAAGGATCCTACTGCTTCGGGTTCTAAACTACAGTTAGGATTTAGGGTTTAGAGTTTAGGGTTTAGGGATACCCTCTTTCAGGCCCGATCCCAGTATTAAGGGCTTCAGGGTTCATAGGTTCGGGGCTCCGGGGCTCTTGTCTGCCTTTTTCTGCTTTAAGCGACCTCAACTTGTGGTGTAGGATTTTTTTGCCTTAGGGTTTAGGGTTTAGGGCTTAGGGCTCAGGCTCATAGGGTTTACTGCAGGTCTTCTTTGGGGCTTTAGGGCTTGGGCTTGTGGGTTACTGGGTCCTGAAGCAGCCTTTTTAATGTAGGGGCCTTAACAGTTAGAAGAGGGTGTTGGTGGGGTTTATATGATACTATGATGATAATAAGGAATCCCCAGACTAGTATAGGTAGTTATATTTAATTTAGGCCCATGTGTTAGGTTGAAGGCTTGCAAGGCTCTATAAACCCGAAGCCTACACCCTTAAACCACGATTTTTGGAGCTTCGTAGGCTCAGGATTTCAGCGCAAATTCTTCGTTGTCTGGCTTGCCAGCAACTGCGAACAGCAATGGGCATGTTCAGTTCACAACCGTTGGGTTTGGGGTTTAGGGTTTAGGGTTTCATCCCATTTTCGGCAAGGCGCTCTCCCAGTTTTTCAGCGGAATAGGCTCGCTCTGAACAATGTCGCTCCGGAAAGCCTTTGCAAGTCATCTTGCGGGTGCATATTATATGGGTTTAGGACGAGGGGGCGGGGTCTAAACCGGGAATCTTCGAAGTGTGCCCAGTCGAAATCTTCCTCATCCCTTCACAGCAGTTCCCAGCGAGGGTTGCTAGAAACATTGAGCTGAAGTACTATAATGTTGCAAACCCCGAGCTCAACCAGATGATACCTTAGCCTCGGAACCTGGCTGCAGGACCCTAAATCCTAAACCCTAAACCCCGAGCTCAACCAGAGGATGCCCAAACCCTCAACCCCAAACCCTCAACTCTCTCTGGCACACACACACACACACACTCTCTCTTTCTCACTCACAGGCATTCCAAACCCTAATAAACCTTAAAACCTAAACCCCTAAGGTCTAAATCCCCAAACCCTAACAAACCCTGAACCCTAAGCCCCTCAGCTCCAAAACCCCAAGCCCCAGTAAACCCTAAACCCTAAACTCCTAAGCTCAAAACCCCAATAAACCCTAAACCCTAAAACTCAGCCCTAAAACCCCACAGCATCGGAACCCTAAACCCCTAAGCCCTAACATTTCGAACCCCATAGAATCGGAACCCTAAACCCTAAACCCTAAACCCTAAACCCCAAACCCTTAAACCCCAAAACCCCTAACCCTAAAACCCCAAAACCCCACAACCCCAAACCCTTAAACCCCAAAACCCCACAGCCTTGGAACCCTAAACCCCTAAACCCCTAAGCCCTAACACCCCTAAACCCCACAACCCCTAACCCTAAAACCCCTAAACCCCACAACCCCTAAACCCCTAAGCCCTAACACCCCTAAACCCCACAGCACCGGAACCCTCAAACCCCAAAACCCCTAAACCCCACAGCATCGGAACCCTAAACCCCTAAACCCCTAAGCCCTAACACCCCTAACCCTTAAAACCAAAACAATAAAACCCCACAGCATCGGAACCCTAAACCCCTAAACCCCGAAGCCCTAACACCCCTAAACCCCACAACCCCTAACCCTAAAACCCCTTTAAACCCCACAACCCCACAACCCCTAAGCCCAAAAACCCCTAAACCCCACAGCATCGGAACCTGGCTATAGGAAATCCTTGGCACCGGCAGGTCGGCGCGGAGGAACCCGGGCTTCACAACCTGGGCTTCCGGTGGCAAGCTTTCATTAGGGTATAGGGGTTCAGGGTCAGGGTTTAGGGTTTAGGGTTTAGGGTTTAGGATTTAGGGTTTAGGGCTTAGGGTTTACGGCTTAGGGTTTAGGGTTCAGGGTTTAGGGTCTAGATGTTTAGGGCTTAGGGTTTAGGGCTTATGGTTTAGGATTTAGGGTTTAGGGCCTAGGGGTTTAGGGTTCAGGGTTTAGGGCTTAGGGTTTAGGGCCTAGGGTTTAGGGTTTAGGGCCTAGGGCTTAAGGTTTAAGGTTTAGGGGTCTAGGGTTTGGGGTTTTAAACCCTAAACTGAGAGAGGGGACCTTCCGGCATTACTTCCTTTGGACCATCCCCCACTGCTGGGCCCGGAGTTTAGGGTTTAGGATTAAGGGTTTAGAGTTTAGGCTTAGGGTTTACGGTTTAGGATTCAGTATGGCTTAGGGTCGAGCTCTTAGGGTTTAGGGTACATAGGGCGAGGGCCGGAAAGTTGGAACCCAAAACTGAAGCACCTTTTCGGGGAGGGGGGAAAGCTAAGGGCACCCTAGATCAACTAAACCTTGCCCGAAACCCCGAACCCTTAGACCCGAAAAGTATCATAAGCCTTCAGAGGAAACTGATCTCTCAGGCCTCGTTACTGTACCGTTGCCTTCAGCCCCGCTATCGGGGTATCCCACCGTGTTTCCCTTAGACACAGAAGGTTAAGTACTAAATAATCATACAGTGAACAGCAAGACCGACCTACCCCAAAGCCTGAACTAAACCCCGAAGCATACCCTAAACCCTAAACCCTAAACCCATCCAATTTGGCCCTCCCATCAACCACTGGGCCTTGCTCGCTCCAGCATTGGGCAACAACCCCGGCAGTGAATCTTGTGTCCTCGCGGGGTTTAGGTTAGGGTTTAGGGTTTAGGGTTTAGGGTTTAGGGTTTAGGGTTTAGGGTATCTTGTGTCCTCGCGTCCAGTTCTTTTAATCGAAAGCCGACATCACTGGACACTCTGTCAAGACGTCGACTACTGCTGCTGCTGCTGCTACTTATTATCAGTTTTATTACTATTATTCTTATTACTACTACTGTTGTTGCGATTAATATTGTTTACGTTTGCATTCTTGGTTCTCTCGATGTGTGTGTTCCCCTTCTTCTTCTTCTTATCGATTTTAATGTGCGGGTAACACTTCATGCAGGGTTCAGGATGTCAAAGGCGTCTCAGGATTCAAGGGCTTGTCGATGATGAATGCAGAGACCGGGGCGAGGCGGCAGTCGTGGTGGTGGGGGTGGAATTAGTGAGGTTGGGATGGTGACGGTGATGGCGCCTACCGACGGTGACGCGCTGACATGGCCAACTCTTTGCAATGGCGGTGGTGGTGATGTCGGTGGTGATGTCTGTGGTGATGACTGATGATGTTGGCGGTGATAGCGATGCCGCTGGTGATGGCGAAGGGGTACCCTGCTAAACAACTCACGTAAAGCACAAACGGGGAACCACAAGCCCTTGAAACCCCCCGAACTTCGTCGAGCTCTTAAGCTGCAGCACCGAGCGGCAGTCTCGCCGGAGGCTGCTCGGCTACGAGCAGTTTCGCTTCATCACCTGCAACTGCGGGGGGGGGCTCAACGCCAGGGGCTTATTGTTTCCTCAAGGGCTCCGCTGCGCGTTCCACAAAAGCTCTCCAAGGAATTCTACCAGAGTTTGGAGGGTTTGGGCCCACCGGCCGAGCTGACCAAGTCGCAACTGCTCGAGGTTTTGGGGGTAGGGCGTTTGCGGCTTTTAAGGTTTCGGTATCACCTGCAGCTTCTGATTAGACTTGGGCTCTTATAAACGTTTTGCGTAGTTTCACAGGGTTAAGGTAGGGTATCATGCGGGGGCCTCAAGCATAAGACTAGGGCTTGGGGTATATTGCAGAGGGGATACTGTAGCACATCATTCAGACCTTAGTAGCATCTGCAAGTTTACCTGGCTCTGAACCGCTGACCGCCGCCTGAAGAGTAATTATCTTGGCGTCATGCGACTTCTGTGAAACCGATTTGAGTTTTGGACATCCCGTGCTTGGTTCACCTTCAATTAGAGGCACCAGCATTATCTACGTCCTCGGCTTTGAAGATCAGACAGACACCAGGAACGATGCAACATACCCACAAGTGAGAAACTGCCGAAGTCAACACCGAGATGATGATGAGATGATTGCGACGAACCATTGAAAAAACACGTGTGGATTCTGGAACTCCTCTCTTCAGCTAAGCCACCGAGACACTTAACTCCATGCAGACAAGCGGCACTGTAGTCGCGCAGCGACACGAGGCGGAGAGGGTACATGCAAGCAGTCTAGCTCCTTCTTCAGCCGATCCTCAGGAACCAGTGCTCAGCTCTCACATCCCTAGCTTCGAACATGTCACGCCTCATCTAACCCCACCACCCCCCGGGTGTCTTGGCAGTTCAACTACGTACAGCTAGTCCCTACTCGTCCAAGTCTATTCCAGGCCCTCGGTGAAATCGAGCCTTATGGTCCTATGCCCGAATCAAAGCGATTGTGGCAACGGACGTCCTGCATGAGGCGGAAGGTGCTGCAGAACACTGAAGCCTCGCACCAAAAGGTTGGCTCGGGTAGCTTCCTGCATATACACATGCATGTATGTGCGTATGGATGTATGCATGCACGTCCTTATGTACGCCTGTCTGTCTGTCTGTCTGTCTGTCTGTCTGTCTGTCTGTCTGTCTGTCTGTCTGTCTGTCTGTCTGTCTGTCTGTCTGTCTGTCTGTCTGTCTGTCTGTCTGTCTGTCTGTCTTCTGTCTGTCTG